TAACTTCTTTTCTGGAAAATTGTCTCCAAAATGCTTGCGTACGCTTGTAAACAATATAATGAGCTACCACTGGAACAATTTTAACAGCTGTCGGACGAGTGGCTTAGAAATGACAGCAGTCTGAAATTGGTTGCAGTTATTTCATCTCACCTTGTATATACTTTATGCCTCCGTCGGAGCTAGAACCCATTATGACCTACAAATACCAATTTTCAGACAAATCCGTGGAAAAATGTGATATATCTCATTTTCAAAAAACCAATATCCTTGACACAATACAAAATGTTGTGCCAAATTTAAAAGCGCTGCGTCTAATAATGTGGTTTGTATCGTAATTTTAACAGACGGACATCGTTAAATCGACTTAGAATTTTATGGTGATCATGAATATATATGGGTGTAAGACGAATAATTAGGTATGTTACAAAGAGAATGACAAAGTTGATATACCATCCTTTTTAAATTGGAGGGTATAAAAATAAATGCAGCCAATTTAAGATAATTTAAAATATAAATCTCTTTGATCCAGAAATTGGAATATTAATAAAGTAATAACTTGCACATCAATTTGTAACATAATTTCACTTTTATTATTATGCATTTTTCTTACAAAACACACAGACGCCTTAGATTACTTCTTTATTCGTATTTATTCTTTTATTTTTAATTATTCTTCATTATTCTATTTGAAGGAACTTTGCGTCGTTTGTTCTTGAGTTTCAAATTTTAATGTGGCAACAAAACATAAACAAACAGTTCTTGGAACCATGTAAACATTTGATCATATGTAAATAGAAAGGGACTATTTTTTTAAATAAAGTAAATAAGTTTGCCCATGAACCTAGTCATTTCTTTCTTTCCCCAAATGTTTGCAATTCAATTTACAATATCACACCTAAGAGGCATAGTTTGTAGCGTATATTTTAAAATGAGAAAGTAAGAATATGCTGTTTACCTGAAAAACTTCTAGAAAATATTGAGCAGGGCCTCAATTCTTGTTCTATGAAAAAGTGAATTTAAAACTTTTATAAGGGAAGAAATGTCAAACGAAAACGTTTACAAAGAAACGTTTTTTTAATTTCATAATTTCACCGAACAAGAATTTATCTCTCGAAGGGAGTATTCGATTTGGTCCAAACTTGGTAGATCGTAATATTATTGTCAAACTTATATCGAGTTCGGAGATGGGCAATATCGGTCCACTCCTTCTGGTACCTCCCACAGAAAATGTCAATATTTTCAAAGAAAATAATTTACTCTACAGAAAATGAACGGATAGTCCGATTTTGCTCCAACTTTGCAAATCCTAATATTTGCAGCAGTGTTAGGTCAGGTGCGAAAATGGACAATGTCGGTCCACTCCATCTAGTACCTCCCTCACAAAGGTTCAACATTTTGAATAATTATTGCTCTTATAAAATGTGATGTAAGAGTCCGATTGACTTGAAATTACACACATTACAATATTTTTATTAACCCATGGTATGTGTGATGATAGAATATATCGGTCTACTCCTTCTGGTTCCTTCCCCACAAAGGGGGAAGCTCATAAAACGCGATATTAACATTCGACTCTATTCAGACTTGGCACATCTCACTATTTCTATCAACACAAGATCTGTTATAAAGATGGTAGTGAACGGACCAATTCTTCTGGCACCTTCCGCACCAAGGGTCAAAGTTTTTAATAACCAAAAAGAAATAAGCATCTGGTTCTCTTCATATTTCATACATCACAATGTTTTTAGTAACCCAAAGTCTGGCGTGAAGATGGGATATATCGGTCCACTCCTTCAGGTACCTCCCCCACAAAGTGTCAAAATTTTGAATATCTTTGAAGCTCATAAAGCGGGAAATTAACATCCGATTCCATTCAGACCTGGTACATCTCAATATTTTCATTAAAACAAGATCTGTTATAAAAATGGTAGAGATCGAACAATTTCTTCTGGTACCTCTCCACGCAGAGTTTAAGATTTTTGAAAAAAAAGCAAAACGCACAAAGGAAGCGAAATAAGCATCCAACTCACTTCAAATTTCACACATCCAAATATTTTTGCTGACGCAAGATCTGTTATGAAGATGATATATATCTGCCAACCCCTTCTGGTACCTCACCCACGAAGGCTCACAATTTACAATACTTATATCTGTCATAATTGGCAAAACAAGTAGGCGTCGTTTGAAAAATGAAATAAAACTTAGTTTTATTATCACTAAAATAAAAACTGACCAAAAAGAACACAAAAAAAAATAAAATAAAACAAATTGTTCATCATATAAAAAACATAAAAAAAACTTCAAATTATTTTTACTGGTTTGATATATATTTCTTAAATTTGTTGTCTTAAATTTACACGAAGGATCGTAAGCGTGCATTGAAGTCGTCGTGCATACCTACATATTTTAATGTACACCCCCTTAGAAAAACGACCCCATCCATCTTGTTTTTCTTTTCTTTTCCCTTTTGCATGTAACATGCAATATGTTTGAATTCATGCTTGTGTGCTTCATATATATGTTATGCTAAGAAGTTTACTCAATGTTGTTAATTTACTACCTGAAATGTGAATCTTGGGAAACAACAACCGACTGGTATTAAATATTGATTATTTCAGAGGTGTAATACCAATTTAGGAATAGCTTGCACAAAGGTATTACCAATTTGGGAATTACTTGAATACATATTTTGTTCAAGTTTAGGCATCATTTGTATTAGAAAAACACACAAGACATTTAGAATAAATACAAAAGGCTTAATCACGAAAGTAGAAAACTAGCATCCAGCTTGAAAATTAACTTTTTCATTCCGTGTGTAATATCCCTAAATATTCGTCGTAGACCCCATATTCATAATCAGCATAAAATTCTGTCTATTGATATCACGATACGGCCCACATTATTTGATGTAAAATTTGGCAGAACAATTTGTATTGTGCCTAGGATGGTTGGTATTTAAAATGAGATATATCGGTCCACGTTTTCGTATTTTTCCACATATTCTTTAGTTAAATATAATTCAGATAACGTCAGAACTTGACTTAAAAGTTTTGAAATCTTAAGAAACTCGAAATGTGAGGGTGTCTGTGCTTAATGTAGTCAAATCCTCCTTCAAAATCAAAATCGTTAAGAACTGCAGATCTTTTATTGAAACCGTATCGATAGTTATAAATTGAGTTGGATGAAATCGATGACTAAGAAGAAGAGAAAATAGAAAGGATGAGTCGTCCCTTCTGCTTGTAGCCTGGATTTACGAAGAGAAACTCTTATTTTTACAAAGAACCCTATCTAGTGGTAATTTAATGATGCTATGAGCCTAGACCCAACAAACCCATATTGCTCTTTGCACCTCTCAATTTCAAGAAGAATCTCTTTACTGTGAAGATAGACAGGTTGTCTGAAGAACATGACTCGCAGACGGCCTCAATGCTGTCGGTTTGCCTGCAAATTCCAACCACATGGGTCATGACGAAAGGATCAGCTTTGGTGGAAATCTTAAAGACAAAGTTTACTGGATGTTGTTTCTTTATTCAGGGTCCAGAAAAATAGAGGGAGTCAAGAGAGAAATTTTGATAGTTTTGTTACTGAGAATTATGGAAAGCACAAAATGTCTTATTTCATAAATTTTTGAGCTTTCTTCGCACTGGCACATGTACGAGAAAACGTGATTTCGCTCAATTCTGAAAGTTGTCTGGTCATATTTTACCATATATTCATATGGGTGAACTTACTCTGCATTGTAAATCATAAATTTGTTTAAATATTTTATTTCAGAATCTGCTGGTTTTCTGTTGTGCAGTTCGCTTTATAATGCCTTCCTAACATGTCCAGGGACGCTTAAAACTCCATTGTTAGAAAATGATAAGCAATAAAATATTTTACCCTTGCTTATAGAAATAGAAGGATGAGAGGGGACATTAAAAAAGGTTTTACCATGCAATTTTTTAAGAAACTCGAAAAAATTATAATTATTTTATAAATAGCTCTGTAAAAACGTAATCGTTTTGAAATATCATTCGACACATTCTGCAACTAAACAAATACTTATAAATATTAGCAGATTCATGTTATTAAAACTTTCAATCAGAGTTCTCACCCTACCTTATTGATATGTTTGCGAACAGGCGGCTTTTGTTTTTATACTCCTAAAAATGCATCCAAATATTCTCTCAGACAAAGTAGAATGCTGTCAAAAAGATTTTATTTTATCCATTCCTTGGAGGGTTAGTTTTGGGCAGGGCGGCAGTGTATGTGTGTGTGCAAGTGCTACAACAAATTCGACGTATTCAATTAATCTTGATGTCCATTAATTTGTTTTCCATTCATTCGTTACAACTTCAAAACAGACGTCAACAAAAAATAAACGGGCTATTGGATCTTCTGCTACGTCTTTTTCTTCGTCATACGTGTGGCACAGTCTGAAGTGTTTTCTTGAGGGCAAAAAGATGGAGTACTTGAAAAACAAAAGGCCAACAAGCAGAGCAAATGACGAGAAAAATAAAAAGATGACAACCGGAAGATTTGGATGCGGGTTTAGCTCACACAAATCGTTTTGCTCAAAAAGACAATTCTGTCAGTTTCCAAGCCAGCAATATTCATTTACCACCACTACCGTCGCTTATTGGACAGCAGAAAGCATACATATTTCACTTGTACATTAAACGATGATCTTCACTTTCACACGCGGTACTCTCGTCACAGAATTTACCTATGACGCGGCGAGTGTTTTGTTGGTACTTTTTGTATTTACCCCGCCGTACAAAGGGTATCAAGGATATTTATTTATAAATTACACTGAACTGCGGAGAGTACTAAAAATAAATCCAGCCGAAGGGGACGGGTTGGCAGCAGGCAGGCAAGATAATGAATGCAAAATTAAGATGAGTAATCATAGCCAGGCCTATTTTAACGTAACCCAAACAAGGCCTTTTTTCTTTCCGTTTTGTAATATTACAATTGCCCGTTTATTATATTTCTGGGGCCCACATTATTTGTTATTCACTAAATGAAAAAAAAAAAAACACTGCACCACACACTCCATACACACGATTCATGCATGAAGTATAAAAATCAATCAATTCTAAAAAAGACCGACGAATTTCGTTTCATTCACGTTTCTGTTACGTAAATCGATTAGTTAAACTAATTAGAAACACAAGTAGTAATAAATACCAGCGTTCAACAGAAATATTCGGGTAAGAGAAAATAAAAACAGAATTCATAAAGTCGGAAAAAATTGTAAATTTGTTCGTAGTCAAGCGATAGTTGTTATACGTTAAAGAACAGAGTTACACTGTTGCCCATGGCAACGGCGATGCAAATACTACACATGACGGCGATAGAATTTAAGAAAGGGCACATTGAAGTATAGCCAACACATTGCAATTAGGGCTCTGTAAACCTATCATTTATATAATCGATAAGTTATTTCAAAAGAAAATATTTTTAGTAATCTTAGATTTGGTCTTTTCCAGAACTGCATGAATATAAAAGTTTTTACAACGATAACCTATCGAAAAAATACATGCAAAACTAGTAGATTCTTGCAGGTTCTGGAACAGACCAATTATTGGCCATTCTGTGAAAACAGTGCGTTTGTTAAAAGAAAAGGAAATTACATGTGTTTGTTGTTTTCGGTTCAAACGCCGAATCTACCTTATAGTTTTTGTGAATGCTCATGAAAATACCTATCGAACAAATGCTTTATTGATTGGCTCAAACATAAGCGAGATGGTTTTAAATTTTTTAAACTCTAGTTCTCGGAAAATAAGTTTTTTCTTAGAGAATGGACTTGGGTACAATTTGATTTCAGGAGTTTTCGTTTTTTACCATGGCTTTTAGGGTGCAAGTACATAAGAAGCTTGAAGTCATGGCTAGGCATATTTTGTGACATTTCAAAAAGGGATTCCATTATAATTTGACATTAATATGCCTAGTCATGACTTCAAACTTATTATGTACTTGAACCTTTAGTGTTACTTATATTTGCTCTGTTCCTGAACTGCAAGATTGTATAAGTTTTTACTACGATAACCGATTTTCCACTATTTTTGCAATTTTTTTTCGATGTCATAAAAGGGAAAGTAAAAATTTAAAAAAAAAAATAAAAAAAAAAAACTGTAACATTAGAACTGTAAAAATTTTAGTTCTGGAACAGAGCAATTTTTGAATAAAAAATAAAAACTCAAAATTAATTGCCAAAACAATTCTCCCTTTCGATTCCCCTTACCTAATCTTTCTACAAACTGAGAAACTGTGAACATGCCTAATGTAAATTCGGAGTGTTTGAAAACAAATTGAAAGAGGCAAAAAAGGTAATTGAGGAACTTTGTATAAAAATACCTGCTTGTGGTAGTATTTTGAATATATATTTTCGTTTTAGAAACAGCCAAATAAAAAATATATATTTCTGTTACTTTGGGACCTTAAATTTCACCGGAAAATTTAATTATATGTATTTTTTTTAAACCAGCTTAAAAGGCCTACCTTTGGTAAGAATTTCAGTTTGTCCACCAACTGGGTGTATATTCAATTTAAAGCAAACTATATACACGTTTTCTTCACAATGGAAACAGTGTTTTGTAAAAAAAAATATTTTTACAATTGATTTAAAAAGCTCTTATATCTATTCGCCTTTCTAGGACCTCAACACAAGTTTTGGGTTTGAAATTTACAATTCCCAACTCTTTTAAAGACTTCATTTTTTCCTCCAAGGATGTTTCTTCGCTTTGTAGAGTTTCGTGTAATAGCATAGCAGTGCCAAGGGCACAATTTAATAATTTGTTGGCATCATGGATTCTAAGAAAAAAAAAAAAAAAAACAACAAAATTAGATTAAATTTTTGGAGTATTAAGTCATTTTTGTATATACCTCTTGAACAATAAATCTGGCCTCCTACAATATTGACCAAATAATGCAAATAAATTACGTGTCATATCGTAATTAAATTGGGCTGCTCCAGCAGGTGAGAATTTTGTGTTCATAATCATACTGTCCAATATATAAGCATCGATTTGTTGTGCTATTAATCTCAGAGTCAAATTAAAAAGATTAGATGACAATTCTCTTTCTAGATTGTGCAAAACTGTGACCATCACTTGGAACATTTCTCCGGCACTTGGTGATAATATGAAAGGCTCTTTATTGTTTTGGTCTGGCATGGTGGGCCAACAGTCATGTCTGTATGGCATTGATTTGGCTTTAATTTCATTAACGGCCTTTGTGGCTAAGTTCTTCAATAGTTTTTCAGTCCAATGTTCAAGTTCGGACACGGGATTTTCAAAGACCGAATTGATTTCATCGGCATTCGGGCCAACCAGGGCCGCATGTAAGTGCAAATAGTGTACATTTTCACCCCATTCACTCAATACCATTTTAATGTAATTAATGGCATTCAATATGGGGATACTCTCCACCATGCCGCTACTATGAAGTTGCACAAGGCGACGTCGAAAGTTATCTATCAATTCGAGTTGTAAACTTAAAAATTGTAATTGATGTCCTGGTTGTATTAAGGAATAATAGCGGTCCTTTATGGCCTCTAGCAGACGTATAAATTGATCTGCACACTTGGGAATTTTTAAATCATCATCGTATATATTAGGATCAATTAGTAGCCAGGGATTTTCGGCTTGCAGTATCATATCCATTTTCTCAGAGCAAACTGAAAGTATAAACAGTCGTTAGTGGGATACAATTTCATAAATACAACATCATTACATCTTTCTTCCAACGATATCCATTTGAGTAAATACACTGGTTGGGTAATTACACATATAGCACTGGGAAAGCTGGCAGGATATCCAAAATTTTCTCTTAATTCAGCTTCAAATGCCAATGTTTCATCTAATAAATGTGCGAAAAGATTTTCATCTCGACTTATTTCCTCAATGTCTGCTATAAGTTTTTCAATCGTCAATTGAACTAAACCACGCATAAATTCCAACTAAAAAAAGAAGAACAATTTGTAGTATAGCCATGAATATTATGAGTAATTATTTCCTTACCCTGATATTGAAGTCTAACTTTCCTGCTTTAACTGCAGATGTTTGGAATGTTTTTCCAACAAACAGGTGAGTCTCTTTGCCCCAGTTTAAGATTTGCGTATAAAACCATTCAGGTTTATCCAAACGATTTGTCTGTTTCACACCTGTGAAGTGGTACATAAATCTGAAAGATTCAATTACAATTATACTAGATGTATCAAAATATGTTGCTCGATAATAACTAACCGTTGTCTATAGGGTGCCACTAAATACTTAGTTACAGTTGATAAGGGTTGACAAATAATGCTGGGGGCTATCATTTCCAGTTGTTCAGTTTCTTCAGCTGGTGATTTTAACTAGAATAGGAAATTTAATTCTATGACACATTTAAAATCAAATATAAAATATTTTGAACACACACCAAAAACAGATATTCGGCTAATAATTGCGCCTTGGTAATGTTATCGGCAGATGGTTTGATTAATAAGGAATCGTGTTCTTTCTGTCCCCATTTCAAAGATTTGAGCACATTTTCAAATTCTCTGTAAAAAGAACACATATGTAGTGTTTATGGTATTTAGATTCCATATTCTATGGATTCCATACTTGGAAAATCTCTCCTTTAGCAAGCTGTGCCAGTGAATTGCAGTTTGAGTGGCAAATGTTTTGAGGAATGGAGCTTCGACACTGGTAAGACGTCCGACAACGCTGTGATCATAATCTCCTTCTTCGTATAAATTTAAGTAGAGATTTATCATTTTAGATTCATCTTTGCCATTTATACACTGCGTAAGAGCGTTACTGGAAGAAAAAAATTTGAATGAATAAATCTGCTTAAAATCACTCATCTTATCTCTAATTAATTAATTTTTATACTGTTGTGTGAAACTTAACTACAAAAAAACCAACCTAAGAATATGGGTTGGATTCAATTATAAAGTTCCAGTTCTAAAAACATTTATATGCTCTATTGAACTCAGTAGTTATACGATTTTTTCCTTTTTAAGTCTTCTACATTTGTTTTACTACACAAGCGAAATAAATCCTTTAAGAACCGCACAAATCAAGTTTATATATTCTGAATAGATGTGTATTGAAATCATAAGTATATTTTTGTAGTTGGCCATTACATGAATTTTCAACGGTTTCGTATCTATAGACCAAAACTGGGGAAAAGGGATAAAACTGTGATTTCTTAATACTGTTTCGTCTTAAGGTCTTTTAATCGGTAAGTACACTCTCTAAAGAAAATGAATTATGTCGATGGTTGGTGGTGAGTTATGGATTTGGCATATTTACATACCTAATTTCTTGTATATCCTGAACTATACGCAAATATTGAACCAATTGTTGCAATTTTCTGACTTGCTCCAAATCCGGTTTGACAGCATTCAATGCTTTATTGGATTCAGAAATGCGTTCTACGAGCTTTTTGCCAAACTCTTGTAGTTTGGCCATTTGGAAGTCTATGGTATCACAAGTATGTTGTTCACATTCAAAGGCAGATTTGAAACTGGAGATATTATTCGGCTCTTCATAGCTAAGCTAGAGTATAAAAATTAGCATATTTAGCCATAGGTCCACACGATATAAATTGATATTTACCTTTTCCCGCAAAGTTTCTAAACGAGACTTGTATTCATCAACCAAAAGGGAGGCTCTGTGGAGTTTCTTAAAGTCGCTGCCAATTTCATTATTAATACGAGCCAGTATGCGCTCTTCAAATTTGTTATTCACTTGCATTTTAGACATGATGACTGTTCGTGTGCTATTTCAATATTACAAATTATTCAGTAAATTATAGTGAGTGAGTAAGGTCTTTTAAATTAGACCAAAGATATCCAGTTACCAAGACACCAATGGTCATCCAATTCGTTTTAGAACTCGGAGAGAAGTAGGGCCTAGTTATTGCTGACTAACAATTGAAGGCACTATCAACCGATTAACTTAAACAAACATTGATCAGTTGTTCCCACAGTTGATATTTTAGGCCAAAAAGACTTCTGGTTTACACAAACTTTAGATTTTCCACGGATAGAGTCATCAGCAAGAAACCTTATTCCACGACAACAAAACACGTCAAGTTGGAAACCAAAATGAAAGACGTCCCCAACGAGACAAATAAGACGGCAAAAAGTAATTCCCGATAAAAAGTAGACAGAAAGCAAAATCACCGAGTACCTCTCTTGTTTACGAAAGAGACATGAGGACAACGGTTTCTTCTTCTTCAAAGAACAGCCGATTAATGCAGTACTTTTTGAAATTGCCAGATGCACGTACTATAGTGCTTAAGGTGCTATCAGACGGCACATGTTACACAAAAAATTATGTTGCCGGACACATACATCGTTTTTCATTGTTACAAGTTTCATTTAAGTATGAACTGTCAGATAAGCAAAAAACCAGACCATCTTCCCTTTATATTTTAACGTAGAGTTTACTGAATTTATGTTGCCATATATTATATTGATAATATGACAATAACAACAAAATGTATTTACATATACAAATGGATAACCCTAATCGAAGAAATGAATTATAGATTTATTTCACGAAATTAATTACAAATTATTTTTGTTCATTATTTTTAAACCAAATTAAGATGACATTTCGAAAAAAAAAATGCATAGTTTTACAAAAAGCTTGCCATATCTCTGTAAAAATCATTTATTTAAGTAAGGGATAACAAAAGTGATTGTAAAGGAATGATATAATAAATGTCAGTCGCAATGTACGTTTCATGGTTGAAGAAAACAGGTAGACGCATCGACATAGGTGACGGGACAACGAACTGTCAAACCCATCATGGAATTGAAAATTCCATTCCATTGGCGTCGCATAAGAAAGATTTAACAAAATCTTCCTTTTTTTGTAAAAACATTTGAAAATTTTTGACACATCAATGTTGATGTATCTACTTGTATTCTTCTACCATGGTACTTTTCTTCTGGTTATTGAATTTGTTTTCTTTTTTTCATTTTCCAAATCAATAAATATAAAAACAAAATTGGCAGAAATCGGACAAGCTCAAAGAAAAAAATTAACAGCTAATAGCTTTCTTAAAGGTTGACCTAGTTCGATTTTGGCCCTAGGCTCCTTTGTTCATTTCCGAAGAAGCCAGCCGATGACTTAAGCCAGCCAAATAAGCGCTTTATGTATTCCCAGCTTTACTTTTAACTGCATGGTAGAAAAATCCATAAAGCGTGGGAATATAAATAAGTAGATTTTTTATATATTTTCTTATACTAAGTCAATCGTAGTATGTTTTGATACGCAATTTTCAACAGTTTTTACAAATTTGAATAATTTTTTATTCAACATTATCAATTCCAAAATTGGTTTGACAGTTCATTGCCCCAGCAGCTGTGTCAATGCGACTACCTGCATTTTTCTACCATGATATCCATACTAAACAAACATCAGCTGAGCGGCTTTTTACACTAGTCATTTTAATAGACTCGAATTCTAAATCCATCTGTACAAATTTTACAAAATTATTGATATGACAACATCTCATTGTCAAAATGTACAATTATATACACAAATCATTGATGGGAACCTGTTTTCCAAGCAGTTAAATTGACAAGAAAAGTTACGGAAAATGCTGAGATGGATATGCTTTTTTGAAATGACTTAACCTTCTTAATTATACCACGTGAATATCTATAATTTTATTTAAATTGGAATTGTTTAGCGATCTCTTGGAGTGTTACATGATTCGTAACTGCAGCTGATAACTATATATTGGAGGAAGTAAATGAAAGCATTAAAATTTAAGAATAATATTTAATAATCCAAATTCTAAAAATGTATATTTTGAAATGTCGTCCATGTATGACATGATGTGTGCAAATGCTACACAAGGAAAATTTGACACTACATGTGTAAAAAATAACTCGTCTGATACAGCATGTAATAACATTGTATAATTGTGGATCTGGATTATTATTTACATCCATGGAACATTGATATGTTAAAAATGTTTGAATGTTTCTCCAAAAAAGTCGATTTTTATATGTTATCCTATACGACGCCAATGGGAGCTTGGTATGATATGCATTCAAAAATTTCAATTCCAAAATTGGTTTGACAGTTCATTGTCTCAACAGCTGTGTCGATGAGACTACTTGTATTATTTTACCATGTTTACATCCATGCATGGTACAATAAAATCAAGGTAGGGCTATGATGATTTTATATATTTCTTTTTTATTTTCTTCGCTTAATATGTCAACTTTATTTGTTTATGTATGCGTATTCTTTTCAAAAAAATGTCCAAAAAATATTTAAATTTGGGTGTTCCAAAATTTGTATTCTTATTGACGTACGCATCGACAAAATCTACATTTTTGTAGCGAAATAAACCTTTAGAGATATATAGAACATGATTTTGAAAAGAAATTTTGACCTTTCATTCAGTTTTCGCGGTTTTCAATTATTTAGTAAAAATCAATGCAACAAGTTGTTTGGTTTTTTTATTGGTTTGATAGTAATTCTGACATTACAATCCAAACAGGGAGAACTCTATACTTGCAATTTTTTCAAAGTTGGCCAACCTTGTCTTCATTGTACTATAATATAATCCATGTTTACAATTTCTTAAATTACACATTCGACAATGTGATTACAGAAAAGTGCAGAGTTTAATATTATTATTATTTGAAAAGAGATTATCTTGATTTAATTGTACCATGTTTACATTTATGGGGTGTTTAATATAAAAAATTGAGTATCTATAAATTAATATAGATTATGTGATTTTACACTCTCTGTTAACCACAAAACCAAATACTGAAGTAATTGAATGAGAGGCACTTTGTAATATCAGTCAATTTCACACATCATAACTGAACGGTTCTTTAGTGATTTTAGAAAAAACTGATTTGTATTTGTAATATAAATGCAAAATATAAATAATTTTTAAACATGTTTTCCGAAACAATTGAAAATTGTGCCGAAGATTCAAATAAGTAAGGCTGGAAATACATAAAGCGCATATTTGACTGGCTTAAGTCATCGGCTGGCTTCTTCGTAAATGAACAAAGGAGTTTTAGGTTGACCTAGTTCGATTTTGGCCCTAGGCTCCTTTGTTCATTTCCGAAGAAGCCAGCCGATGACTTAAGTCAGCCAAATATGCTCTTTATGTATTTCCAGCCTAAGTTTGAGAACAATTGTTTTTAACTAGAATTTATATAATTATTAATAATTCGAAGTCTACAAATAAACTAAAAATAATCAATTTAAAATTGGAAACAAAAATGAAGAGAAACCATGAAAATTACGAACAACAAATGTGTTTAGTCATCAATGACATCGTTTTTAGCTAAAGAAAAATATTGTGAATAAAGTAGGGCAAGTGTGACAATTTATAAATGCCCTTCAATATATTTTTAATTTACGACGTTTGTTGCTATAAATAATTAAATAGTGGTCCTTGTCTTTGAAAACCACAAAATTTTAAAAACATCTTCGGTTTTCGTTAATTCTTTTTAAATCACGCAAGTAGTTGGCAGATTTAATATTTATTTTGAATATAAAAGAAAATGTTTGAGTATTTAGAAGAGTACGTAGGCGAAGGAGCTCATTTCTCTCCTCCTCACCTAAAACTCAGATACAAGTGATTGATAACATTTTGAACATACACATTACACACAGAAGATGCAATTAATTCATTGAAATAATCAAATTTCAAGTATTTATTATAAATCTGCTTTGTTTACATTGGAGCTTTATAGCGCTTTCAAATACAACATTTTATCCGGGTTAACGCAAATTATCAGGATTGCTTATGCCGGAATTATTCAACCATATTTACCATACGAAAATAGATCTTCTCAATAACGGAAAGCATTACTGTGTTTTTACGTTGGAACTGCGGTAAGCTCCAAGCCGCAGATGTTTCCGCAATAGCCTTGTTTACATTTTGCATTCGCACAATAAGAAATAAACATTACATTTTATTTGCACATGGTGATATACTGGAGATTCATTAGTTTCCATAAATTTCAACATCAATTGTCTTTATATTAGGTTTCTCGACACAACATTTTTTGTTATTTTTGCATTCCCTTTTGGTTATTCATGTATACGTAAACAAAGATCAGCTGGCTGACAATTTATATAAGTTTAAACTAGTCTAAACAAGTCGGATTTTATTGATTGTTTTGAATCATGGTAGAAGAGTACAGGTAGTCGCATCGATACAGCTGCTGGGCAGTGAACTGTCAAACCAATTTTGGTATTAAAATTTTTGAATGAAAAATTATTCCAATTTGTACAAATTTAATGCATATCTTGGTGAAAATACAAAAAAGCTTGTTTGACTGACTTAAGTCAACGGCTGACTTGTTCGGAAAAGAACAAGGGAACGTAGGGCCAAAGTCGAACTAAATCAACCTATAACTCTTTTGTTGCTCTACCATGACAGAAGAATACAGGTACATTGATATGTCAAAAAAAAAATTAAATGTTCTTTCAAATATAAGTAGGTTTTTATATGTTTTCTTATACCACGTCATTAGGAGGTTATTATAATTCGCGTTTTCAACAATTTTTTGCAAATTTAAATAATTTTTCATTCAACATTTTCAATTTCAAATTTGGTTTGACAGTTCGTTGTCTCAGCAGCTGTGTCGATGCGTCTAAATATATTCTTCTTTATGTATTTCCACCCTAATGTATTCCTAACTTAAGTCATCATTTGGTTTCTTCGTAGAGGAACAAAGAAGTTATAGGTTGACTTAGTTCGATTTCGGATCATAATTAAGCCAGCCAAAAAGGCATTTTTTGTATTCTCATCTTAAAGGTGGGAATGTATAAAGCGCATATTTGGCAGGCTTCATCGGAAATGAAAAAAGGAGCCCACGGCCAAAATCGAACTAAGTCAATCTTAAACTCCTTCGTTCCTCTACGAAGAAGTCAGTCAGCTTAAGCCAGCCAAATAAGTGCTTTATGTATCTCCACCCTTATGTATTATTAACTTAAGTCATCGTTTTATTTAAGTTTAGGTTGAGTTAGTTTGATTTCGGACCATAAATATTACCTGTTCCTTTGTTCTTTAACGTAGAAGCCAGCCGTTGAATTAAGCCAGCAAATTTTGTTCCCACCTTAAAAACAGCATTATTATTTCAGGAAATGTTTTCCGGATTCCAGTAGCCGATCTAACGATTACAACTTTTCATCACTGGAGCAACCACCCAGTTTACAAAGTATTAACAGTGTCAATAGCAGTATATTCTCTCCAAATTCCGATATCTCCAATGAATTTCGATCTCTGGAACAACCGATTAGTTTACAGAGCCTTAATGGCGTCAATATATTTTCGCATCTTGAGATTACAAAGGCTATACTGCAACAGGTATTTATTTCGACGCACGATTTTTTTATACTTTTGACACACTTTATACTTTTTTTTAGCTTGGCAGCCCATTACAGGAAGCGACATTCCTCAATATATTACAACATTTTTTAAGTATTGATTCAAAAGCTCCTTTGGGTACGATAATTTGGAATACTGCAGAAAAATTAGTGCACCGGGCCAAGCTGATTGAAAGTGAAAGTGATGCAGAACGATTGTTATGTAATGCCATATCATACAAGCTGACATGTCTAAATTGCAATTATGCTAAGGAAGAATCAAATCCGAATACTACAAATCAAAAGACTGAAAATGACCATGGTCAAACGGCACCGACTGATGTCAAGAAAATAACATTGGTGACGACTCCTGCTCCGGGTATGACACCTGCTCCCGGTATGCCACCACCACCTCCAATGCCAGGTATGCCACCACCACCTCCAATACCTGGTATGCCACCTGCTCCCGGTATGCCACCACCACCTCCAATACCAGGAATGCCTTCTCTCCCTGGAATGCCAATTAAACCTATTGCGTTTCCTCATCAATGCACTCCTCCTCAAAAATCAAAAACAAGAAGCGTTAATTGGATCAAAATTCCACCACAACAGATTTTAGGCAAAAACAATATCTGGACAGCAATGTTGGACTGTCAAAAAAGAAACACTGGCGTCAATATCGATTTCCAAGAATTAGAGACACTATTTTGTTTACAAACGAATAAAGTGGAGACAGCAAAAGGATCAGATTTCGTCGATGGCAGTGCAAGGAAAAGTAGTTCAAGCGCCGTAAATTTGTTTGACTCAAAGCGAAGCTTGAACATCAACATCTTTTTGAAACAATTTAAAGGGTAAGGTCATTGATAATATACATATAATTATCACACGTTATTAAATTGTTTTTATACCCTCCACCATACATAGTATGGAGGGTGTATTAAGTTCGTCATTCCGTTTGTAACTCATCGAAATAATAATGTTAGGTCCAATACCGGCTGGCTTCTTCGTAAAAGATGAAAGGAGTTTTAGGTTAACTTAGTTCGATTTTGGCCCTACGCTCATTTGGTCTTTTCCGAAGAATCTACCGATGACTTAAGCCATTCAAAAAAGTGGTTTATGTAATCTCACCTTAAGCATGTCATTTATTAGGCAAAAAATTTCTTTGTATCGGTGACAATTCTACCTGATTCGAAATAAACTAAAACTTACTGTTCAGACCAGCAACATTTAAGTCGTTTTTACTTGTTTCTAATATTATTGTGATTTATTATTTTTCAGATACGCAACTAATGAGGCTATTATCGAGCTAATTCGCCAAGGAAACCACAAAATAATGGGTCCTGAGAAGTTGAAGAATCTTCTAAAATTATTGCCCGATTCTCAGGAAATACAAACATTGAAAAGCTTTGATGGTGATACTCATTGTTTAGGAAATGCAGAAAAATTCATGTTATTATTAATTGCTATTCCAAAGTGAGTTTGAGTTATAAAATATTTTTATTTTCCAATAATTGTTGTAGAATATTACGGGCAAAAGAGAGCAATGTTGGAGAAATGACAATTAAGAATTGGCAAGGTTATATTTGCCGCAACGTTTTTTTATTTTTGAATGCAGCAATTGGTTATTAGTAAATTTCCTGAAAGAAAGCTGACGGGGGAAGCTTACGAAAAATTAAAGTGTGTTTACCCAGCGTTTATATATAAGTGTCAACTCCACCAACATGTACGCAACTTGCTGTAAGAAGGGTGTTAAATGGAGTAGTGTTTTCTCAGTCCTCTCACCTCTTAAAACTCTAAGGCTGGAAATACATAAAGAGCATATTTGGCTGGCTTAAGTCATCGGCTGGCTTCTTCGTAGATTAACAAAGGAGTTTTAGGTTGACTTAGTTCGATTTTGGCCCTAGGCTCCTTTGTTCATTTCCGAAGAAGCCAGCTGATGACTTAAGCCAGCCAGATAAGCCCCTTATGTGTTCCCACCTTAACTTTTATGTACGGCAAACAATGCATACAATTTTTTCCGAAAAAGAAAAAACTGCATAGAAATAGGCCAGCAGGATAGTGAGTATTGAGTAGGATAGACAGATTTCATCGACACAGCTGTTGGGACAATGAACTGTCAAGCCAAATTTGAAATTGAAAATTTTGAATGAAATATTATTTAAATTTGTAAAAATTGTTTAAAAATGCAGATCAAAACAATCTCCGATTGGTGTTGTATAAGAAAGTGTTTAAAAAATTTAACATATCAATGTTTTCAAGCGTTGATGCATCTACCGGCATTCTTCCAAATTAAATAAAAGTACGTTTAAATATATGAAATCTACTCGATTTCAAATGTCAATTCCATAGCGTACGCGTCAAATAATAACCACGGTACTTATGAATACGACTTACCATGGTAGAAGAATACAGGTAGTCGCATCGACACAGCTGCTGGGACAATGAACTGTCAAACCGATCTTGGAATTGAAAAAGTTGAATTAAAAATTATTGAAATTTGTACAAATTGTTGAAAAATTCATATTATAACAACCACCGATTTACATCGCATAAGAAAATATTTAAAAATATACTTATTTTTGATAAGACATTTTAAAAATGTTGACATATCAATGTTCCCAAGCGTTGATGCATCTACCTATATTCTTCTACAATGCGACTTACGTGACGTATACGCTGAATGCATCAAGTGGATTTAATAGTCTAAACGTGTTCTAACAAAGGAATTGAACCATGGTAGAAGAATACAGGCAGTCGCATTGACACAGCTGCTGGGACAATGAACTGTCAAACCAATTTGTCATTTAAATTTGTTAATGAAAAATTATTGAAATTTGTAAATATTGGTAAAAGCTGGATATCATTGCAACCTCCGATTAGCGTCGTATAGGAAAACATATACAAATCTATTTATTTTTGAAAAACAAAAAACATTTAAAAAATGTCTGACATCAGTGTTCTCAAGCGTTGATGCATCTACTTGCATTCTTCTACTATTGAACTAAGGCAACCTACAGGTCAGAATACATAAAACGCTTTTTTGACTGTCTTAGTCATCGGCTTGCTTCTTCGTAGAGGAACAATGGAGTTTTATTTTGAATTAGTTCGATTTTGGCCCTGTGCTCCTTTGTTCTTTCCGAAGAAGTCGGCCGATGAGCCTTTTATGCATTCTCACCTTTAATTTCTTGTATTACTAGATATCGAAAAAATTGGAGACAATTGGTATTGTAAAACACGTAGCTTTAGTTTTAAATAAACCTTAGATAATTATTTTATTAAACAAATATGAGATTGTTTGTAATGTAATTTTAGCTACAAGTTATGGATTGAATGCATGCTTTTAAAGGAGGAGTTTGCAGCTAATGTTACATACCTCGAGCCAGTAATATGTGCCATAATCGATAATGGACAAAGTAAACGCCTTATATTCCATCTACCAACAATATGCTAAAATAACTTCACTTCTATTTTCACAGATCTAATTAATAATGAAAAAATACGTGATGTGATTTACTACGTGGTACTTGCTGGAAATTTTTTAAATTCTGGAGGATATGCCGGTAATGCAGCTGGAGTTAAACTTAACTTTCTTACCCAATTGAGCGGAATACGTACCAACAAACCGGGAATGAGTTTTATACATTTTGTGGCATTACAAATTGAAAAGTTAAAGCCAGAACTTTTACTTTTTACGGAAGATTTCAAATGTTTGGAAAATGTTTCAGGGTAATGCTAGGAACACAATTGGTGCGAACGACGAATTTCGCCCTACGCGGCGACAAAATGAGCCGCGAAAATTCGTCGTATGGAACACAATACCGACGAAATTATAAAACAGCTGATGAAGTTGTTTACTCTTTGCTCATTTGTTGACTACAATGAATTATACAAGAACACATAATTCTTTACGTTCTCTATTATAATTTCACTTATGTCCATCTTCTCTATTATAAATTCACTGATATCCATCTTCACTCAGGCGCAAGTACACAAATAAATAAACAAATTAATTATGTTTTTTTTTTTATACGAGTAACAGATAGTAGAGTGACCATAACAAATTTTAAAGTAAAAAGTAACTTTATTTACTAAAACACATAAAATTCGTACAAGTATGGCCACCTTGTACTGTTTTGTTCGCCGGTCGCCGGCGTATGAAATAGAAATAAAGCTAATTGAGTTCGCGGCGACCGACGAAATTTTCGCCGGTGCCGTGATTGTGTGCACTTCCATATACACATATGTGTTTTATTTTTGACGACGAACATACGCCGCGAAAAAATTCGTCGTTCGCTCCAATTGTGTTCCTAGCATAAGATTTGCATATTTGTTGTCCAAAAGTCCGTTCGTTTATTTTCCCAGTAACATTTAATAAAGTAAACGAACAGCATCTCGGAAAACACGTGTTAAATAACAGCTGATCTATCGATGATTTGGCTAACATATTAGGGGTGTCTGGTTACTTTTCCTGCAGGAATTGTCCAGCAAATCTCTCTGAGAGAGTAAAGTAGTTTTATTCTCTTTTGCAAGGAAAATGCAAAAGAAAGACAGACGATATTCCTGCAGAAGCTTGCAACTAATCAGCTATTTTGTCAAAACAAACCAATTTGTCCCCCCATTAAAAGAATTAAAAGAAAGGAAGCACCACCAATTCTAAAAGTTTTATAAATAAAAAGAAAATTAGCAATAAAATACAAATATGAGCAATAAAAGAAAGATAGATTTTATGTGTTCCCCGGAATCCTTTAAATGTGTTGCTAATGGCGATTGTCTAAAAATGTTGGAAATAGTCTTTTATTTCCTTATTACATATTAGTATTTACGTTTTCCACATTTTAAAGTTGTTCCCCAAAAACAATTAGTCTTTCAAATTCCAAAAAACTATTTTCAAATTAAAAGCACAAAATAGTTAAACAAACAATAGAAAACATCTGATTGAATGTCGATAAATGAGAAGAAGAAGAGTTGCAAGGAGAAATTTGTCCAGCAAGAATTTGCAAACTCTCACTGAAAGAACTGTCAAACTCTCCCTCTCTCTCTCTCTCTCCAACCGCTCTCTTTTGCAGAACTTTCGGGTTAACAGACGACTTCCAGTAACAATTTGTAACAATTGTTACAAATTTTAGGGTAACCAGACACACCTATTAACAGCGGAAATATTTTGAAGCAGTTTATAAGTTTTTATATTTTCATTAAAAAAATAATGGAAAAAAAGTAAGTTCGGCCGGCCGATTTTTGAATACCCTACACCATTTGGAACGATTTTGGCAATTTTCTAAAAAATAAAATCCGTTAAAAATTCTGTTGAAATCTTAAAAATACCGAATGTAGCCGTTATATTAGGATCTATACAACGACGAGGACCTGCATAGGCAACTTTTACCATAAACCATTACAATATTCAAATGCGAAACTTGAATAAAAAATCGGTGAATATGTAGCTAAAATCATCAAATTTCCGAATATAGGGAGGTACCGTAATATTGGGGTTATACAAAGACATGGACCTGCGCAGACAATTATCTGTCATAGGCTGTAGTATCCATTACGAACTTCATATAACAAATTTGAAACAATTCCGGTGAATAATGTAGCGACATGAAAATACCGAATATCGGGAGGTACCGTTATATGGGGGATATACAAAGAAGTGTACCTACAAAGATAATTTTCTGTCTTAGGTTGTAGTATTTATTACCAACTTCAAACACCAAATTTGAAACAATTCCGGTGAATAATGTCGCTAAATCATGAAAATACCGAATATCGGGAGGTACCGTTATATATGGGAAATACCTGTACATGCAATTTTCTCTGTCATAGGCTATAGTACCCATTGCAAGCTTCAAATACCAAATTTATAACAATTCCGGTGAATAAAGCCCCTAAAATAATCAAAATACCAAATATTGGGGGTGTACCGTTACTTGGGGGGGCTAAACTAAAACCTGGATCTACATCACCCATTTTCAATACCAAAAGTCCTGCAGACATAATGCACATTTGAGTAAAATTTTATCAACATAGTTCATTTTGTTGGGAAGCTAGAGTGACTTCCACAGACGGACGGACATCGCTAAATCGACATAGAATTTTATGCTGGTGAAGAATATATATACTTTGTGGGGTTTAAAACGTATATTCGACATACAAACGGAATGACAAACTTAATATATTTATTTTTTATCCTTACTTACATTTTCCTTTTCCACTGTTCTTAACAAACTTAACGGCTTATTTTTTCAAAAAAAAAAAATGTTTGATTAAATTTGTTTGTTTGTTACAAAACAACTGTTTATTGAACAGCTGATGTCACTGGATAATTTTTACTGGGGAAATTTTCCAAGTAAGAATTTGCAAATTCTCAGTAACACAAACGTCAAAATATCTCTCTCATTTCGCTTTCACATACTGGACTTTTGGCTAAATGAACAATTTCCAATAAAAAATTGTACAAACTATCGAGTAAATGAACACTCTTATAATTATGGTAAAATTAACAAGGTATTCTCATTTGCCAATGATAATGATAGGCAACAGGATGCCGCACAACTGTGCGTGAGGTAATGATATCGAGCCAGTTTTTATGTTATGATGATTCTTGGGTTGAACTGACAACGTATTGTTGGGATCTATGTTTTTCCGAAATAGGGTCTCATCGTCCTCTAATTCGTTCCGTCGTTTTCTAAAACAAACCTACTTCCTTCGAGAGAGTACTTTTTTTGCTACAGTGAAACAATTTTATACCTTTTTTATGACGAGATCAATATCGGAATTCAATTTTGGGAACAAACGATAAAATATTTATCAATGTTAGCAAAAAACACATTTTTTACAAATTCGTACATTTCTATTCTTTGTGCCAAATAAAAAATGTTGTCCACTCACGCCAAAGAACAGCAAGGGACTACATGTTTCTGTTTTCTTCTTCTTGATAATTACGCAATATTTGTTGTGCGAGAATGACATTGTTAGGGTGGAAACACATAAAGCGCATATTTGGCTGGCTTACGTCATCGGCTGGCTTCTTCGTAGATGAACAAAGGAGTTTTAGGTTGACCTAGTTCGATTTTGGCCCTAGGCTCCTTTGTTCATTTCCGAAGAAGCCAGCCGATGACTTAAGCCAGCCAAATAAGCGCTTTATGTATTCCCAGCTTTACACTTTGTTTTTAATTTTAAACACATTCTGTTACAATTCCGGGTTTTCACTACATTTTATTCTCACCTTAATTTCCCCTTGGTCCACAGTGTATGTATTTTGATTTCAAGCAACTTCGAATTCAATCGTATAAAAGTATTATATCCAAAAAAGTCGAAAACAGGTAAAAGGTATATATTTAAACGTTGTTATATTTCACTCTATTTCTATCCGTAGCATTAATATTGATCAGATATCTAGCGATATTACTGAAATGGACAAAGAACTGAAAACAATTGAGAATCAAATATCGAATGCAAATTTCGAAGGCAATACAAAAAGTGAACTAATGTCGTTTTTAATGAGTGCAAAGCAAAAAGTTTACGAGTTGAAGAATCGAATGATCCAAGTCGATGAGATACGTGTGAAAGCGGCCAATTTCTTTTGTGAAGATGTACAAAAATTTCGCTTGGATGAATGTTTTCGAATTTTTCACTCTTTTTGTGAGACGTTTCTCAAGTCCCGCAAAGACAATGAAAGACGGTTACAGTTGGAGAAACAAACATTACAAAGACAAAAGCAAAAACAGGAGCAGCAGATGTCGAAAATGGGTAAATTAAAAAAAATTCTTTGCACATATTTTTGAACAATGCGTTTAATGAAAAAATGATGCATCGTTTTAGAACACAAACGTCCCAGACTTCATGATTGCCAAAATGTGATTAGTAACTCGAAAGAAATGAATAATAATCATTCAACAATGAATGATGATGAACTAATGGATTATTTTAGTAAAAGTTTGCAAGATTGTGGAAAGGGTCGCAGACGAAAAAGCCGCGACAATGGACGAAGGAATTCGAGAACCTCCACATCTAGTGATGAATGTGAGACGACAGCTTTAAGGAAAGAAGAACAAAGTGTTCCAGATCATGCAGCAGATGCTAAGGTTAATGAAAAAATTACCATTTCAGATGTCAAAGAGAGACCTAATTCATCGCAGTTCGTATTTGGTAAGTAGCTTATGCAAACTGTATATTAACTGTGTGTTTCTTCGGGGAAAAAGAAATTAAGTTCAGTTTGCATGTATCTATTAAAAATGCCAGTGTTTTTGACAATTACTCTACACCTGCTTTTCCCATTCTTTATCCGGTCTTTACACATGCAAGTAACATGCAGACAGTTTGGGTTTATTTCGGATTCCGGCTTCGAATCACCGCAACTACGCAGTGTATCCGAACATTTTACAAACAAACAAAATTCTTTGAGGCACAAATGAATCTGAATCGTTTGTAAAACAGCATGATTTCTGAACTACTAATGGGTGTAGCTAAATAAAAACAAGCTCCAAATTAATAGAGAGTAATAGACGAATACCAGGGGACAGAGTCCGTAAGAGTACAATAAAAACAACACAAACAAGTATAAAGGCTGTAAGTTCGGCCGGGCCGAACTTTGAACACCCTTCACCATTTGGAACGAATTTGGCAATTCTCAAAAACAATACAATTAAAATCTTAAAAAACCGAATGTAGCTGTTATTTTAGGGTCTATACGACGACATGAACCTGCATAGGTAACTTTTGTCATAAGCCATCACAATATTTAAATGAGAAACTTAAAACAAAATCGGCGAATAATCATCATCATCATAAAATCATTAAAATACCGAATATCGGGAGGTACCGTTATATGGGGGCTATAAGAAGACGTGGCTTGAACAGACAATCCCCTGTCATAGGCTGTAATATTCAATACAAACTTTAAATACCAAATTTGAAATAATTCCGGTGAATAATGTCGCTAAAATCAACAACGTACCGAATATCGGGAGGTACCGTTATATGGGAGCTATACGAAGACGTAGTCATGAACAGACAATCTCCTGTCATAGGGTGTAGCATCCATTACGAACATTAAATACCAAATTTGAAACAATTTCGGTGAATATTGGCGCTAAAATCCACAAAGTACTGAATATTTGGAGGTACCGTTATATGGGGGCTATACGAAGACGTGGATCTGCACAGACAATTTTTTGTCTTAGATTGTAGTATCAATTTCGAACTTTGAATACCAAATTTGAAACAATTTCGGTGAATAATGTCGCTAAAATCATTAAAATGCCGAATATCGTGAGGTACCATTATATGGGGGCTATACCAAAACGTGGACCTACATGGCCCATTTTCAATACCAAAAGTCCTGCAGACATAATATACAATTCAGTAAAATGTTATCAATCTACTTCATTTCGTTCGAAAGCTGTAGCAGTTTCCACAGACGGATAGACGGACGGACCTCGCTAAATCGACATCGAATTTTATGCTGATCAAGAATATATATACTTTGTGGGCTCTAAAATGTATATTTCGAAGTGTTACAAACGTCTGGTGTGAAGATTGAGTATATCGGTCCACTTCTTCTGGTACCTCCCTCCCACCTATCGAAACAAGATCTTTTTGTAAAGATGGTAGAGATAGGACCATTCCTTCTGGTATTTTCGCCACATTTTGAAGAACCAAAACGATTATAAAATTCGAAATAGACAACCGGTTCTTTTTACATTTGACACATCCCATTATTTCTGCTAACACAAGATCTGCAGTGAAGATGGGATATATCTGTTCACTCCTTCTGATGCCTACCCCACAAAAGGTAGACATTTTGAAAATCCTTTAAACTCGAAAAAAAAACGCGAAATTAACATCTGATTCCATTTCAGACTTGGTACATCCCAATATTTCCATCAACACAAGATCTGTTATAAAGATGGAAGGAATCGGAACATTTCTTTTGGTACCTCCCCCACATAGGGTATTAGATTTTGAAAAACAAATCGCTCAAAGAAAGCGAAATAAGCATCGATCTCTCTTCAAATTTCACACATACAAAATTTTTGCTAACACAAGATTTGTTGTGAAGATGATATAGATTCTGGTACCTCAGTCACAAAGGGTCACAATTTTCAATACTTTTATGTCTTGCGAAACAAGTCAACGATTCAGATGAATATGGAATTTATGATTTCTCATAGAATTGGATATAAATGTTCGATTTCCTTCAAATTGTGCACATATCAATATTTTTATCTGTATTAGATGAAGTACGGAAATGGAATACTTCGGTCCGCTATATATGTCACCTGACGCAAATTTGCATAGTATAAGAAGTAGTCGGTATAGTCCAAATCTGATATGTTGTAATATTTATATCAGTCTTAGGTCAGATACGAATTGGTCAATATTGGTCAACTGCTTTGGAACCTCCCCCATCAAGCGTCAACAGTTTGAATATAAATCTGGGGTATAAATTTGTCGGCAAAACCGACTGATACTATTTTACTTGTTTTTGACCTCAATTGTAGTTTTTAATTGCGATTTACATGACCTGTTAAACTGATCTGACTGATGATGCAACATAATTTAACTTCCAAAGTAATAGCAAAAATTCAACTCTTATTTGGTCTCTTGATTATATTACAACGAGACACTCAGTGTCGATAAAGCCCCATCGCTTTTGATATTTTATACGTGCCTTGGTTGTTGCTTATAAATATATATTCCATTTTTTTTTTCTTTTTGCAGATCTTGAACCTTTGCCAGAAGGTAAATGTATAACGGCCTCTGACTTGAATAGTCCCCTTAAAAACTATCAAAATTCAGTTATCGAAAATATGGGTAATGTGGCACCATCTTTAGCGCAAGAAAATACACCACACATAAAGAAAAAAGACTTGGAAAATAAGGATGGAAACACTAATATTCAACACGAGACTGTGGCGCAAAGAACAAGAAGATTGAAAATTATTCCGCCACTAAAAATTCGGCCGATTTCACAAACAGAAGAAAGGTCAATGTCGGCCGTTGTTGGTAATACAGAATGTGAGAAACGTTTTTCCTTCAAATCGGTGGCTCTTGCTGCACGAATGGTAAAACGTTGCACATCTATTAATGAGCGTGATATTCAGGAGACTTTAAAACACCTAAGAACACCAACCGTTGTACCGAATTATATATGGGATGATCACAGACAAAGATTGCGAACGATGAGCGAAAGAAATGCGGAAAATATTTTCTTTAATGATAATGTTTTTCGAAATAATGTAGAAAAGGAAGCTGAGAAATGTCAGGGAACAGACATGCAAAAAATACCATGTATTACTACGAATGAACAACGTTTGAATAATGAGGACTATCATATTGTAAATGGAGCTCCAATATTAATTGAAGGTAATAAAGAGGAAAATTCGACTCTTGAAAATATTCCTGGAGGGGACATAGAAGCACCCAATGTACCAGAATCCGCGATGAAATCAAATTCTTTAATTTCTGAAGTCGCCGAAAGGAAAAACAGTTCAAAGGATCAAGATTGCCTTAACGAGAGCTATATTCAAACATTATACGCTCTAAAAAACGACGCAATAAGTTCTGGAAATAAATTGGATACACCAAATGGTGTTAAAAAACATTGTGAATCTGAGATCAAATCAACGACAACATTGTCCTACCAGTGCAACAGTGCAACAAATTTAGAAGATAATCGAGAGCAAAATGATAGTGGTGAAATTTCTGTTGCAAATATTATCCAAACATCTGATGTAAAACGTTTGAAATCAAATAAAGTCGAAAATGATATTTTAAAAACTCTGGCTGGTTGTGATAAGACATCTTTTTCGGATAAACGAGATATTTATAGCGAAGAACAAACCACATGTAAAGAAAATCCCCAACAAATCCATGCAGAAAATTTGAATAAAACCTGCCTCAAGGATGGTGGACCATTGAAACATTTACATACGGAAAATTTAAAAAACGTCACTCCTGGGTTGAACAATGCAGACAATGATGAATTAAAGATGTTGACGCCCAAATCGGAAGGTTATCATCTAATTGAAGAAATAAATTTGAAAGCCCTCTCAGATAATAAAGAAAATTATATTAATTTTCCGGAGGTGGAATCTAAGCCAGAATCGAACGGAAAACAAAATCCGAAGAATCCCACAGAGAATAAGAACAATTTGTTAAAATCCAAAGAAGTGCATCTTCAACATAACTGTGATCAAAGCCAAATACAATCAAAAGAAATAATGAAACAGAACTCACGTGATCTTGAAGACATTACAAAATCCAATAAAGTTGAATTTATGACGAATGCCGAACAAATAAATGCTAAAGAAAATGTGGAAAAGGAGTTATTGTTTTCAAATGACAAAAACCAAGATGCTATGACGAAAAATGAAGATATCAACTCCATGTTTGATATCATTTCTGAACATTTACAAACATTACAGATGAAAGTGATTGGGACTCAAAATGTAGGACCGTATATTATTCACGGTATATCTAATATTTCTCCCCTTGACGAAGAAAAATTAAACAATGAGGTATTGTCTGGAAAAAAACTCCCAGAATATCATGCTTGTGATAACATATTTAAAACTGATTATAGCACTAAACAATTCAACCAAGCAGTAAATCTAGACCATTTTACGCCCACGCAGAAAGAAACCCCTCCCAATAAATTGGTTTTAAAAAATGTTACAGATGATAAACACTTAAAACTGAAAACTTCTGTAATACCTAACACAACTGCACAAATGCCGACTAAGTCTGAACACGCAGCCAGTATTGCAGTATCAAAGCTAGGAAAGAAAAATTCCGACGAATTAGTTTCATCTAACACTACTGTTGATGCTCCAACAAGAACCAATGAACGTAGAAAACTGAATATATTTTCAAGAAAACAGAAAAATGAGAAACTGCCAACACCCTCTACTGTCAAAAATTCAAAACATGATCTTAAAAATGCAGAGTATGGGACTCAAAATGTCGAACAGAAAGTCATTCAAAATAAATCTAATATTTCTTCCCTCGAAGTTTCGTCTTTGAATGTAAATGACAAAGAAACAGTAAATAATGAGGTAACAGTAAATCTAGACAATACTAAGCTCACGCACAAAGAAAGTGTCAAAAGCTCTCTCAATAAACCGGGTTTAAACCCGTTTGCAGATGTAAATAAAAAATCCAAAGATATTGACAAACACTTCAAGCTCAAAACTTCTTCAATACAAAACACTACTGCACAATTACCAACTAAGCCTGAACATGCAGCCAGTAATGCGATATCGAAGTTAGCAAAGAAAACTTCCTACAAATTAGTTTTATCTAAGACTACTGTAGCTGCTCCAACAAGATCCGACGAACGTAGAAAACTGAATATATTTTCAGGAAAACAGAAAAATGAGAAACTTCCAACGCCCTCTACTGTCAAAAACTCAAAACATTATCTAAAAAATGCAGAGTATGGGACTCAAAATGTCGAACAGGATGTCATTCACAATAAATCTAATATTCCTCCCCTCGGTGTTTCGTCCTTGGACGTAGATCATAATGAAACAGTAAATAATGAGGTAACAGAAAATCTAGTAAACTCCGAGCCTCAACACAAAGAAATTATTAAAAGCTCTCCCAAAAAACTGGGTTTAAAAATATTTTCAGATGTAAATAAAAAATCCAAAGATATTGATAAACACTTAAAACTCAAAACTTCTTCAATACAAAACACGACTGCACAAATACCAACTAAGCCTGAATATGCAGCCAGTATTGTGATATCGAAGTCAGCAAAGAAAACTTCCGACAAATTAGTTTCATCTAAGACTACTGTGGCTGCTCCAACAAGAACCGACGAACGTAAAAAACTGAATATATTTTCAAGAAAACAGAAAAATGAGAAACTTCCTACGCCATCCAACGCCATTGAATCAAAGCGTGATCTAAACAATTCTGAATCTACCCCAATAAACAAAATATCGACATTAAAGAAGTTCTCCACGAATGTAGCACAAAAACTAGGATTAAGAAAGCCCGCAAGCGAAAAACCCCCAAAATTGTTAAATGAAGTGAGAGAAAGAGATAAGCAAATAATAGCGGCAAAAACACCTCAAATAATTAACAAAAAAAGTAATGCTACATCATTAATGAGAAACGACGGCCAAGTTAAAGATAAAAGTTCCCAACCTGAATTGAGGGCAACATCACAAATACCAAGTCGTAGCAGTTTTCGTTCATCTCGTACTTCTAGTAGTAGTTCAGCCAAAGCCTACATTAACAACACTAACCAAAGTGTCCGATTTTTAAAGACATCAAATGGAAGTGCGTGTAATAGTCAAAACTCCAAATCTGATATAAAAACTTCCATTCAATCCAATAGTGCTTCAATAAGACCTCAGTCCTTAAGCAAGAAACGACATTCGGTCACCAATATTTCCTCCAATGCTATGCCAGAAATGAAAAATAAAACAACCTCAGTTCTTCGACCCCCTAATGGCCAACTTTCCTCTGCAAAATCTGTAACCACTTCAACTACTCGCACCCCCTCAAATGAAAGTAATCTCGGAAATGTTACTGTTAACGTCCAGAAAACTGCTGCAGAACCAAAAACAGGCCGTAGTGCTAACCTCAGTTCTTCATTTCCAAAATCTGGCTCTGAATTGCTAAGTAATCGCAGACTTTCTTTGAGAGAAAACTGCAGCAATGTCAAAGGATCCTTAGAACCGACAAGACGCTCTTCGGCAAGTTCAATTCGTAGTTCATTTAGTTCTAAACGTAACACAACTTCGACTCTAATAAAGAAGATACAGAAATAATGGGCTATAATAGCTTTAACGGCAGAACAAGTTAATTAAACTTAATAATAAATTTATTATATTTTAATAAATTTGTACAAAATGAAACTATTTTTATGTTATTATACAAATTACTATAAAATTATAATTATACTTAAATTTATACGAGAATTCAACTTTGTTTTATGTTTCCTCCATTTTGTTATGTTTCCTACATTTTTAAGTCCGGAAATATAGCTCTGGAATAAAACTTGTAATCAAAGAGTAAACAAATAAACAAACGAAACTTATAAATAACTTACTATTCATTAATTCTAAGTCAAAATCTTAAACTTATTGCAGCAGGAAGTTCAGAAATTATGCGATTGCTTTAAAGGTCAGAATACATAAAGCACTTTTTTGACTGGCTTAAATTATTGACTGACTTCTTCGGAAAAGAACGAAGGAGTGTAGGACTAAAATCGATCTAAGTCAACCTAAAACTTCTTTGTTTCTCTACGAAGGAGTCAGCCGATGACGTAGGCAATCAAAAAAGCGTTTTATGTATTCTCACCTAAATGCTAATATGAAGCACTGCATATAAAGTTTTTTAACTTGTCTGTCTTAAGGAAGAAGCCAGGCGATAAGGTGGGAGTACATAAAGCGCTTATTTGGCTGGCTAAGTCATCGGCAGTATTAGGTTGACTTAGTTCGATTTTGGCCCTAGGGTACTCTGATCACTTCCGAAGCCGATGACTTTGACGTTATATGAGGGCAGATATATTTGAATCGACTTACTTTTTAAGGGTTCTACGACAAATTCTAAGAGGTGTTACAAACGGAATGAATAATTGAATATATCCTGCTTTCCATGATGGCTTTGGTGGTGATACAAAGCAAAGCCAATTTCAGACAATACTCAATTCTATGACGGAACATTCACAGTTGGTTAAAGGCAGCAAACGAATCCATTTTTTATATTTTCGATATTTTACGAAGAAAATGCTACCAATTTTGAATAATACAATCGAAAGTACTGCCAAAATAAATCCATTTAGTTACAGCACTTTTTACTAGATCAGATGAGGCGGGTGAATCGTAATTGTTTCTAATTTTTTAGTTTTGCCTGTTTTCTTTTTTTTTATATTTTCGATATCTTACGAAGAAAATGCTACCAATTTTGAATAATACAATCGAAAGTACTGCCAAAATAAATCCATTTAGTTACAGCACTTTTCACTCGATCAGAAACTGTTACATAGTAACAGTTTAAATTCGGATCGAATACAACTTTCGACTTGTTCGAACTTTCGAATCGAGTTACATATTGATCGGATTTATTTTCAATGCTGTGTCCTGCTGTATTTTCACTCACCTACAAAAGCAGTACGAAATAAACAACAAGTCTCTTTATCTAAATATTGCATTTGTTTCATACTTCGAGAAAATACAGAACGAAACTATTGCATTTTTTTACATTGGTGACCTTCTGACCTTTTTTACATTGATGACCTTTTTACATTGGTGAATGCATGTTCCAATGTATTATAATTATTGTCCGAATCAGAGATGCCAATTTAGAGTTTTTCCCGCTACTTTTGATTGACGCATGATTTTTGAAGCATAAAAACCACTGTTTAAGGTTTGTATGTATAGTGGTTGTAGCGATTTTTACGCAAACTTGTTTATTGTCATAACTTTTAAAGCAAAAATAAAAAATAACGGACCTAAGCCCATATAAGTTTGGACAAGAAGACTACTTGTAACAACAATTTGACAATAAACTATTTTGATTTGACTTTGTTGAAATTTCAACGAATGATTATTTTTGCCCTTTTTAGAAATTTTTATAGTGTTTGTTTGTCTTAGTCAGTAGAGATCTATGGTGATATTTAAAAAAAATATTTGTAGCGATTTTTACGTCGGAGCAGTTGGCATCCCTGGTCCGAATGCAAAATGTAAACAACTCCTTGGCGGAAACAATTGCGACTTTGGAGTGTATGGTATCGTCACAGCTGCTGGGATAAGGAACTGTCAATCCGATTTTGAAATTGAAAATGTTGAACGATCAATTATTGAAATTTGTAAACTTTGTTGAAAAATACGTAAGATAATGAGGTCCGATTTGCGTCGTATAAGAAACTCTATAAAAGTCTATTTATTTTTGACAATACATTTAAAAAATTATGACATATCAAAGTTGCGTTGTTGCATTTACCTGTATTCTTCTACCATGACCGTATTAAAGGTGAGAATACATAGACTGATTTTTTGACTAGATTAAGTCCTCTGCTTGCTTCTTTGAAAAAGAACAAAGGATTAGGGTGAACAAGTATAGTTTATAGGCCAATATTGAACTAAGTCAACCTAAAACTCTTTTATTATTTTACGAAGAAGCCAGCCGATGACTTAAACCCATGAAAAGGCGTTTTATGTATTTTCTACTTTAATACTTTTCGTCAGTATGTAGATTCCGCAACGGGACTAAAATAAATCCGGCTGTTATCCACTCGATTTCAAATGCCAATTCTATGGAGTATACGTCACGTAAATTGTATTCTAAATCTGGTGGATATTATTTGACGCATACGCTATGGAATTGACATTTGAGATCGCGTAGAGTTCGTAAATCTAAACAATAAATCCTGATTTTCAGTTGACGTTTATATTACTTTCATGGTAAAAGAATACAGGTAGTCGCATCGACACAGCTGCTGGGATAATAAACTGTCAAACCAATTTTGAAATTGAAAATGTTGAATGAAAAATTATTAAAATTTGTAAAAATTGTTGAAAATGCATATTATAACAACCTCCGATTTGCGTCGTATAAAAATTTTTTTGATAAAACATTCACTGCAAATTTCAGATCATTAAGCTCGTCTCGAAAGAGAAAACAAACACATAAATCATAAAAACATATGATCTTCGCCCTTACAAGGCAAAACTCAAACATTTTTACATTTGACATGACCTATATTCTTCTACCATGATTACTTTTCACCATGTATATTTGTTTCGTTCCATAAAGTTGTAAAACAACTTATATTCTTACACTATGAATAATTCTTTGGTTTTTTTGGTATAAAGACGTGTTTTGATAATTTTAGATAAATACATTCTTATAATTATTTTCTAGTAATTTGTACCCACAAGTTAGACAATCTCCATATTTGTATATAGACCACAATAAATTAATTTTTTTTCTCCATAGTTTGTATAAATAACTTTTCTTTTGAAAACCGCAGGTATTTGAGACCAACATGATATTACTCTGAAAATTCAGCAAATTTTGTATTTGATTTTAAGTGTATAAACATCCAGCTCATTCATAACGCAAACATTGATAAAATCAAGTTAATCTTTTTGGAAAAAAATTTGTATTGCAAAATAATCGAAATGAAACAAATTAATAATAATACAATAAATCCGCCAAATATGTAAGCTATATAAATTAGCTATATAATAATATAAATAAGCTATATGAATATAAATTTAGGAATGATAATAATTAATAAAAAAAAACTTTTGTGAATTATAGTGATCTAAAAAAATTAAACATCGTTACGTTTATATTGTGGCGGTAGTATAGCAAAGAGCCCTACGAAACCCAGTTTTTAATGTGTATATTAAATTTTGCTAATGTGATTAATAGTGCGATTCTCTAAATAGTTAAAAACAAAATTATTGAAATAAACAAGAATTTAAATTAAAATTTTGAAAGTCACTTTCAGAAACACAACTGTCAAAATATTTCTCTCCATTCGACTTTTGAGTAAAGTAAACAGACAGCATCCGGTAGAATTTGGAACCAATTGTTACCAGATACCGTGTAATGTTTGCAATTCGAAGTCGTCTTTCAAAGTGTTCATGTACTTCGGATCTACCTGGGATCAATTACTTGCAATGCTTCATTATCCTTTTCGAATATAAAACTATCAAATTAATACCCAAAAAATTAATTTTATTTCATCAGAACAATTACAGCAGTTGACTTGGATGAACAGGATGGTTTACAACTGATCCACAGCCAAATTAATTCCAATTCATGTATTGGACTTGCCAATGAACTTATTAAAAGGGTAAGTTTTTTGTACCAAGTACTTGGAATACTTGGTACTTGGTATAAGAATATAAGTTAAATTGTAAATACATAAAAAGCTTTTTCGACTGGCTTGAAGGTGAGAACACATAGGAGGCTTTTTTGACTGATCTATGTCTTTGGCTGGTATCTTCGTATTTGGCCTGTCCTGCCCGTATTCAATGATTTTTGACTGGCTTAAATCATGGTCTGGCTTTTTCAGAAAAGAACAAAGGAGCGTAGGGCCAATATCGAACTAAGAGAACCTAAAAATCCTTTGTTCCTCTACGAAGAAGCCAGCCGATGACTTAACGTGAGAATACATAAAACGCTTCTCTGACTGGCTTAAGTCATCGGGTGGCTTCTTCGTAGAGAAATAAAGAAGTCTTAGGGTCTAGGTACATAAAAATCTTGAAGTCTTGGCTAGGCATATTTTGTGACATTTCATAAAGGAATTACAGAGCCGCACCAAAATCCTGCCGTCGTTTTCCATTATAATTTGACATTAATATGCCTAGCCATGACTTCAAGCTTGTTATGTACTTGCACCTTTAGGTTGGTTTAATTCGTTTTTGGCCCTACATTCCTTTGATCTTTCCAAAATCGAACTAAGCCAACCTGAAACTGCATTGTTCCTCTACGAAGAAGGCAGCCGATGACTTAAGCTATTCAAAAAAGTGTTTTATGCATTCTCACCTTTATGTGGACTTTGAACAAGTAATGGTATAATAAGGAGGTAGAAAAGCTCCGTAAAACTGCAAAAATACAGTCCTGCAACAAGTTGTCTTTATTTATTTGATATTTTTCCTTATTCTTAAAATGGTTTTAATAAAAAACAAGTAAAAAACACCGGCCGGGCCAAACTTTTAATACCCTCCACCTTAGGGTAACGGAAACATTAGAGCCCATTATAGCCCCTATATAACGGCACCTCCCGATATTCGGTATTTTGATGCATTTAGTGACATTATTTACCGGAATTATTTCAAAATTTGTATTTGAAGTTCGTAATGGATGCTACAGCCTATTACAAAAATTTGTCTGTGCAAGTCCACATCTTCATATAGCCCCCATGGTACCTCCCTATATTCGGAATTTTGATGATTTAAGCTAAATTATAAACAGATTTTTTTTCAATTTTCGCATTTGAATACTGTAATAACTTATGACAAAAGTTTCCTATGCAGGTCCACGTCGTCGTATAGACCCTAATATACGATTACATTCGGTATTTTTAAGATTTTAACAGAATTTTTAACGGATTTTATTTTTTTGAAAATTGCCAAATTTGTACCAAATGGTGGAGGGTATTCAAAGTTCGGCCCGGCCGAACTTACAGCTTTTCTACTCGTTTTTAATTTCATTTTTGTTGGTCATAAAATTTACACTTTACAACAAATCGTCAGGCACCTGCATTTATATAACATGACCATGAAAACATTTTTTTACAGCTTGAAAGCAGTGAACATTTATCAACCTTGTTCACATTGCTTCAACTGCTCCAGACTCAAGCTGGAGGTGATTCAATATGGAAAGAAATCGAAGAAATTATCCAAACAGTGGTAAATCGGCAAATCCATAATGATCTGAATCAGGATATGAATTTAGAAACGAATAGTAAAAGCATACAGTCGATCTCAATGCACACATCGTTGTCCACGGAATCGTTGATAATTGGAGCGAGTCACGGAACAAAACCTGTCATTCCTCACATATCACCAGCACCACCACCGCCTCCACCATCTCCAAATAGCAACAATCCTTCGCCGCGTCCTGACAGTATTTCTTCTGAAATTGAGGAATTGCTACCGCAACAGAGTCCACCGAATCCGAACTTAAAAATGAAGTCATTATATTGGGATATAGTAGCGCCTCAAACGGTGCTGGGCCAGAAAAACATCTGGACTACCATGGCCAATAAACACAAGAAATCTTTTCGACTTCCAATTGAATGGCATAAAGCAGAATCATTATTCTCTGTTCCATTACCAATGACCACAAATACTCTGGATAGATCAACAATCAAACCGCATTCAACAAAATTGAAATTACTAAATGATCAGCATAGTTTTCTCGTTGAAATATTCCTCGAACAATTTAAGGGGTAAGTACTTTGGTTACGTCGAAAAAGTGAAAAAAATGAAAAAAGTGAAAATTACAATGATAATTATTGAATAATTTTCAACATTGACAATATAATTACGCAACTTCGTGCGTAATTTCTAAATTGTATTAATTGTTGAGTAAAATTATTTTGTTGAAATATAATTTGCCACATGTTATATTATTACTAGCTGGCCCAGACCGCGTTGCCGGTCTGTAGTTTAACGCATAGTTTTTAAAGCATAATAATTCTCACATCTGGCTCACATAAGTGGCACAAGTTTTAGTATAGATGATGACTCGACTAAAGAGCAATAAATATGCATTTCAAAAATGCCAATCTGGGTTCACGTACCGGGCGATTTATAGTGTTTCAAAAAACCTGATCCTTTTTTCCAGCCAGAGGTTTTAATTTGAGAGTTGGAAACCCAAATAATATAGCATATTTATTAAACAGTATACTTCAACTGTTTATAATAGTCCCATGATTGGTTGATGGTTCTATCGATTCGAAAATATAACCAAAACCCTCGAAATAGGTAAAACCAGGAGGAATGTTTATTCTTCCGGTAGGCAAGTTAAGTTCGTAAATGGGCCATGTAGGCCCACGTCTTCATATAGCCCCCATATAACAGTACCTCCCGATATTCGGTATTTTGATTATTTTAGCGACATTATTAACCGAAATTGTTTAAAATTTGGTATTTGAAGTTCGTAATGGATACTACAGCCTAAGACATAAAATTGTCTGTGCAGGTCCACGTCTTCATATAGCTCCCATATAACGGTACCTCCAAATATTCAGTACTTTGTTGATTCTAGCATCATTATTCACCGGAATTGTTTGAAACTATGTATTTAGAGTTCGTAATGAGAACTACAGTCTGTGACAGAAAATTGTCTATGCAGGCCCAATTCTTCACACAGCTCCGATATAACGGTACCTCCCTATATACGATATTTTGATGATTTTAGCTACATTATTCAACGTATTTCAAGTTTCGAATTCGAATATGGTAATGACTTATGACAAACAATGCCTATGTAGGCCCACGTCGTACAGACACCAATATAACGGCTATATTTGGTATTTTTAACAGAATTTTGTAATGATTTTATTTCCAAATTCGTTCCAAATGGTGGAGGGTTTGAATACCCGACCCGGTCGAACTTACTGTTTTTTAACTTGTTGGAATTTCAATGCTCATTTTTCAATATTTGCCGAATGGAATATTGCAATATGTTCTGCTCACTAGCCAGTTTTCGGCCACTGCGACGCGGGTTTCGATCAAATCGCTTCTTTACTTTTCGAACCATTTCTGATAAAATTGCTGTTTTCTTCCGTCCACTTCCTTGACGTCGGACTACGTTACCAGTATCACAGTATCGGTAACGAGCGATGGTACGAGACACAAAAGATTTATTCACATTTAAATGCAGAAGTGAATTTAAATGCTTGGCATGAATTAATGCATATTTTAAAATGGCCATAACTCCTTAAATATTGAGTTTTCAACGTTTTTAGCTATTATTTGTGATCACTTTTTAGGCATGAATAATTGCATATTTTAAAATGGGCATAACACCTTAAATATTGAGTTTTCGGCGTTTTTAGCTATTATTTGTAACCACATTTTTAGGCATGAATAATTGCATATTTTAAAATGGATATAACTCCTTAAATATTGAGTTTTCTACGTTTTTAGCTATTATTTGTTATCACTTTTTTAGGCATGAATAATTGCATATTTTAAAATGGCCATAACTCCTCAAATATTGATTTTCGGTGTTTTTAGCTATTATTTGTGACCACATTTTTAGGCATGAATAATTGCATATTTTAAAATGGCCATAACTCCTTAAATATTAAGTTTTCGGCATTTTTAGCTATTATTTGTGATCACTTTTTTAGGCATAAATTAATGCATATTTTAAAATGGCCATAACTCCTTAAATATTGAGTTTTCGGCGTTTTTAGCTATTATTTGTAACCACATTTTTAGGCATGAATAACTGCATATTTTAAAATGGATATAACTCCTTAAATATTGAGTTTTCGGCGTTTTTAGCTACTATTTGTGATCACTTTTTTAGGCATGAATAATTGCATATTTTAAAATGGCCATAATTCCTTAAATATTGAGTTTTCGGCGTTTTTAGCTATTTTTTGTGATCACTTTTTTAGGCATGAATAACTACATGTTTTAAAATGGCCATAACTCCTTAAATATTGAGTTTTCGGCGTTTTTAGCTATTATTTGTGATAATTGCATATTTTAAAATGGCCATAATTCCTCAAATATTGAGTTTTCGGGGTTTTTAGCTATTTTTTGTGATCACTTTTTTAGGCATGAATAATTGCATATTTTAGCTTTTATTTATGATCACTTTTTTAGGCATGAATAACTACATATTTTAAAATGGCCATAACTCCTTAAATATTGAGTTTTCGGCGTTTTTAGCTATTATTTGTGATCACTTTTTTTGGCATGAATAATTGCATATTTTAAAATGGCCATTACTCCTTAAATCTTAAGTTTTCTGCATTTTTAGCTATTATTTGTGATCACTTTTTTTGGCATGAATTAATGCATATTTTAAAATGGCCATAACTCCTTAAATATTGAGTTTTTACAAACGGAATGAAGAACTTAGTATACCCACCATACTATGTATGCAGAGGGTATAAAAAACAACACTATTGTCAGCTACAAGTGGTGTTTTGAGCCGAAGTCACGATTTAAGCTTTGATCCCTTTTAGCCTTAATAGTATTATTTTATCTTATATTATTCTTATTCCAGCTTGAAAACTGATGATGAAATTATAGAACTTGTTCGTAGCTGCAGACACCAAGTCATGGGTATGGAGAAAATCAAACGTCTATTAAGACTTTTGTCCGAAATGGATGAGCTGGATATACTTAGAACGTTCGCTGGCAACCGAAATCACTTAGTTCGTGCGGAAATCTTCTTAATTAAACTAATCGAAATTCCTGAGTGAGTGCACCAAATTTTTACCTAGGGTCTAGGGTCTAATTAGTGCTTGTATAATTTTGTAAACTAAAAGTTTATTAAAATAATTTATTTCTCAATTTCAGTTATAAACTTCGCCTAGAATGCATGGCATTTAAGGAAGATTTCAACGAAAATTTTACACAATTGCAAGATTCAATGAAAATTGTGATACAAGCGGCCAATGGTAAGATAATCTGGACACCGATTAAAATATCTGCTTTTGCGTATGTTTATCTACAAAATCTCTAACCTGGCGATTGCTCGCAATAAATTTGTCTACATAAAACCAAATAAATGTAATGTGTCTGATCAATTATCTGGGTTAACCCTGGCAGAGATTTTGTATTTAAACGTGTTTCTAGAACCCTGTAACTCCCCCACAAAGGGTCAACATTTTTATAATTATAACTCTTATAAAACGTAATGAAATACTACGATTGGCTTCAATCTACACAAATCACTATATTTTTTATAAAACCAAGGTCAGGTGTGAAGATGGAATATATCGGTCTACTCCTTTTGGTACCTCCCCCACAAAGGGTCAAAATTTTGAATATTCATGAAGCTCATAAAATGCAAAATTATTATCCGAATCCATTCAGACTTGGCACATCTCAATATTTTTTATCAACACAAGATCTGTTATAAAGATAGTTGAGATTGGTCCATTTCTTCGGGTACCTCCCCCACAAAGGGTCAAAATTTTTAATAATCAAAACAATTAAAAATCCGAAAAAAGCATCCGGTTCTCTTCATATTTCACACATCCCATTATTTCTACAAACACAAGATCTGCTGTGAAGATGGGATATATCGGTCCACTCTTTCTGGTACCTCCTCCACAAAGGGTCAAAATTTTAAATAATTTTAGCTCTTATAAAATGTGATGTATGAGTCCGATTGTCTTCCAATTACATACATCATAATATTATTATTAACCCAAGATGGATTATACCGGTCTACTCCTTCTGGTACCTCCCCCCCAAAGGCTCAACGTTTTGAATAACCAAAAGGATTATAAAATCCGAAATAAGCATCCGGTTCTCTTCATATTTCACACATCCCATTTTTTCTACTAACACAAGATCTGCTGTGAAGACGGGATATATCGGTCCACTCCTTCTGGTATCTCCCCCAAAAAGGGTCAACATTTTGAATATCCATTAAGCTTATAAAACGCTAAATTAAGATCCGATTTCATTCCAGACTTGGTGCATCTCAATATTTCCATCAACACAAGATCTGTTATCAAGATGGTAGAAATCGGAACATTTCTTCTGGCAGCTGCCACACATAGGTTTTGAAAAACAAAACGCTCAAAGAAAGCCAAATAAGCATCCAACTCTGTTCAAATTTCATACATTCAAACATTTTTGCTAACACAAGATCTGTTGTGAAGATGATATATATCTGCGAACCACTTCTGGTACCTCACACACAAAGCGTCACAATTTTCAATACTTTTATCTGTCATAACTTGCGAAACAAGTCGGCGATTCTTTACAACTTGCTAAATATTTCTCTCAACTAAAAACCTGGGATGAATACGGAATTGATCGGAATTTTTGATAAAAATCCATAAAATTGTATATAAATGTTCGATTTTCTTGTAATTTTCCCCTACCTGTATTTTTATTTGTATCAGATGAACTGTGAAAATGGAATACTTCGGTCGTCTATATTTGGTACCTCACGTACAGTTATATCATATTTATGTAGGTCCGATACGGAAAGGACAAATTTGGTCCATTGCTTCGGAACCTACTCCATAGAGGGTGAACAATTCGTATAATCGTAGCAGAAGTTAAAATATATTTTAATAATCAAACATTGGCTGACGGTAGACATCTGTTGGCACAACCGACCGATACTTCTTAACTTGTTTTTTTTTTTCCTTTTAATTCTAGAACTTCTAAATAACAAGGGTTTGCATGAAATCTTGTACACAATAGTGTTGGTGGGAAACTTTTTAAATTCGGGAAAATTTGGTGGAAATGCCATTGGTATTAAGTTGTCGTCTTTGCCGAAACTAAGTCAAACACGAGCTAACACCGTCCACATGAATTTCTTACATTTTATGGTTGATCAAATAAAGAGAACGCAGCCATATCTATTACAGTCATTGAACGAATTTCGAAATTTGCATGAAACTGATAAGTAAGTTTAGGGAAAGATTGAAGAACTCAAATATATGAGTTATCGGCCGATATTTTTGCTGTTTTTTTATGTTAATTACACCCTTTCTTTGCAGAATAAATCTAGAACAAATACCCGTCGATATTAAAAAATTTGATAGTCTTTTGCAAAGCCTTAAATCACGACTTGAATTACCAAACACCATGTTGGACATGAATGGGCAGATGTTAAAATCATTAGAAAATGATGAAGCTCAAATCCAAAATTTGAAAGAGACTTTAAAAGACGTAGAAGATATACGTATCAAGCTAGCTACATTCTTTTGTGAACCCTCGTCCACATTCAAATTGAAGGACTGTTTTAAAATTTTTGAAAAATTTCTATGGGATTTGAAACGTGCCGAAACGGAACTCGAAATCATTGAAACCAACACCATAAGTAAGCAGAAGCAATCGTATGGAACAATAGCAACCCCATCGAAAGGTAAGAAAATTGCATGTCAATGCGAAAGTGAAAACTGAATTGGGATATGAAGGTGCATTCAAAAATTACAAAAATAATCCAGGGTGAGATAAAAAAAATTAGAATAAGTTTAGATTTGTTCGATTTGTTCTCCTTGGGCACGAATTATGGCCTTCAAAAGGCCAATGAAACCACACGCTGCCCCAATCTTGCTCTGCGGTATTTTGGCCCATTCCCGGCGAAGCGCTTGTTTAAGGTGATCGACACTTTGGTATTTTTTAGTGCTTTCCAAAATACTCCAGACACAATAGTCCAACGGATTGGTATCCGAAGATTTTGGTGACCATTGTGAGCTGGAAATGAAGCGAGGAACCTCATTTTGTAACCATTCTTGGTGGCGCGTGCTGAGTGCGATGGTTCTGAGTCCTGTTGGAATGTTTAAGGTCTGAGGCCAAAATGTTTGAGTGGCCAAGGCTTTAATACGTCCTCCAGAATATTTTCGAGATAATATTCGGCATTTATTCTGATGCAACGGTCGATTAATATGAGCGGAGAGCGACCATCAGCTGTTATGGCGGCCCACACCATCACCATGGCCGGCGCTTGAGTTCTGGTGGCCAATCTAAGTGCACATTTTCTGCTGACCTCTTTGGCAAGTAAACACGATCATTTTGTTTGTTTACAAACTGCTGGACAACGAATGTTTTCTCATCGGAGAAAACCAAATTCAGCAGCTCACCATTTTCGGCCAAGCGAAGCAACTCTTTAGCTCTTTTGAGTCTATTTTCTTTCTGTTGCGGTGTAAGTTTTAAATTTCAATGGCTTTACCCCGAGCTCATTTTTCAATATTTGCTGAATGGAATATTGCGATATGTTCAACTCACGAGCCATTTTTCGGCAACTGCGACGCGGGTTTCGATCAAGTCACTTGTTTTCTTTTCGAACCATTTCTGCTAATGTTGCTGTTTTCTTCCGTCCACTTCCTTGACGTCAGTCTACGTTACCAGTATCACAGTATCGATAACGAGCGATGGTACGAGACACACAAGATTTATTTACATTCAAATGCTGGAGTGCTCTAACGATAGCCACTTGTGGTTTTGCAGCCAAATATAAAGACATCACACTATCACGCTTGAATTCCATCACGAATAACTTTTTTTGTGGAAAATTCTCACCAAAATGCTTTTGTGCTCTTGTAAACAATATAATGAGCTGTCACTGGAATAATTTTAACAGCTGTCTCACCTTGTATATCTTCGTCCGATTTTCCTTTTATTGTGCCCCAAACGTGTAATATCAGCCCAAATTTTGCACATACGACCAAATTAACCTGGAATGGAGTATGCCAGATTTGATCGAAATCGGTTCATATATATCTATAGCTCCTATATAATTGTTCATCCGATTTGTTATTTTTGTCCTCTGCAGCCATATCAGCTGTACTATAGTTCAAAATACCTTTGCTAAATTTTATCGAGATCGGTTCAGAATTGGATGTAGCTCCCATATAAATCTTCGTCCGATTTGCTTTTATAAGCCCAAATGGGATGGAATTTGGCACTTACGACCAAATTGAGTCTAGAAACAACTATGTAAAATTTGGTGAAAATCGATTCAGATGTAGCTATAGCTTTCATATATAATGTTCATCCGATTTGTTATATTTGTTTTCCACAGGCGTAATATGCTATATATATATATATATATATATATATATATATATATATATATATATATATATATATATATATATATATATATATATATATATATATATATATATATATATATATATATATATATATATATATATATATATATATATATATATAATATATATATATATATATATATATATATATATATATATATATATATATATATATATATATATAGTGCATATTACGCCCAAATTTATCGAGATCGAGTCAGATATGGACATATATATATTTTTCCGATTTCTAGTTAATTGTGCACCAAATGGGTAGTACAAGTCCGAATTGAAAAGGCACGAATGCCTCGGCAAATTTAGTAGACCGATTTAGAGGAGGATAATCCTTTAATATATAAGCTTCTTTGGACTTTAGGTTATAACTATAATCATAAATGGTATGATTTAGTTCTAAAAAAATCTCCATAAAAACATGTATTTATCATGCGAAGCTCTACTAAATGTGAAAAGTGGTGTAGGGTATCATAAAGACGGCCCGCCCGATTTTAAGACTTTCTTTGTTGGTTTTTATTTTATTACATATTACATATGTTATACTCAATCAAAGATTGATCAGAATTTTTTCCCATTATTCCATACAACAGTTCTTTTCACAAACAAAACGACATATAATAAAAATTATTATAATATTTTCAGGAAAATCAAATATTAATATTCACAATCGCTTTGAAACTGTAAAAGTTGCAAGAAGCAAAGGTTTCATAAGAGAGGCAATAGAATCTGAACAAAGTAACAGGGTGACATTGAAAACTAATACAGCTGAAAAGATAAGTGAGTATTAACCCCAACTTCGAATTTTATTTTATTTTATTTCGATAAATAAAAAAAATATTTTTAGGTTCTTTGCAAAAGTCGAAAAAAGAATCTGCAGTTGATAAATTCAAGTCAAACAAGGAAGTATTGCAGAAAAGTGTTTCAAGTAAAATTCGACATTATTCGGATATTTCACAGCAGCATAACTCAGGTAGTGTGACAAATTTGCCCAGCGCAGCTAAGGATAAATCAGCTATATCAAAATGCGAAGAAATCGGTGTCCATGTAATGCCAGTAAACGAGGCAAAATTGCAAGAAATTATTCGGAAATTAAAACCAGTACCTAAAAAGAACAGTCTATGGGATATACCACGAGAAAAACTATTACGACACTCAATTCCAAAGGGACCCATTACTAAGGATAAGGACATTTTTGCAGATAGAAAGAAGTTTTTTGAAAATATTGCCAGCAAAACAGATAATGAAAAAACTCAAACACCTAAATTAACGCTGCAAACAAGAAAAAAAATCAATTACAGCTCGCTGAAAGATACATCAAACGAGTCGTCGGTAACTGAGCAAGCAAGTGAGGAAACAAATATGAACCAAAAGCATGCATTTAATTCAACACCTTCCGAAATGCCGAACTCCAAAATAGAGGAAATAAATGAATCGAAAAAGTCTCAGAATGAATCAGATGATATGGCTAAAATGACGCAAATTGAGGGCAAGTCATCTTTTCCAAAACGCATATTTACCTCAATTGTAAAAAAAATTGGCTTTGGGAAATAAATTTCAAAATAACATCAAATTTTTAAACTTAATTACATCAGATATTTTTTAATTTTCAGGCATATAACATAGTTTTAAATTTTGAAATTTAGTCATTTTGACAGTCTGATTGTCTTTAATAAGGCCTATATAAGGTCGGACAAAAAGAATACTCTTGACAACAATTTGGCAATAAAATGAATTGTTTTTTATTTAACTTTCTTTGAATTTCAAATTACATTTATGTTATTGACTGCAAATATGGCCTTAACTCCAATTTGTACTTATTAAAATTTCTAAAAAATATTTAAAAATACATATGAAAAGAACCTCGGATAGGCGTCGCATAAGAAAACATATAAAAGTCAACTTTTTGACAAAACTTTTTTAAAATTAATTAATCAATTAACCCAGGTAGGTTAAATTTTCGTCAATACATTCTTCTGATCCTTGTATATCAGGGTTAAGTCGGGAATAGATTTTTTTCGGTTTAAATTGTCAAATTAATTGTACATACCATGGTACAATACGGTGGTAGAACAGTTTTGTAAAACTACAGATATGCAGGCCTGAGGCTATGTTAGCTTCCGTCAGAATTATTCAAAATTGTATGCAAGAAGTTGTCTTCATTTGTTCGATATTTTTCCTCATTATACCCTCAGCCATATGGCTACAGAGGGTATATATCATTTGATACGGTCAAAACGTGCCTAGTCGAAATAACGGTTTTAGACCCTAGGTCTCTGTGGACCAAATCCGTTTCAGAACATTTGGAGTCGATTTAGCGATGTCCGTCCGTCTGTCTGTCTGTCTGTCTGTCTGGCTGGCTGGTGCGCACGATAACTCTCGAAGGGAGTATCCGATTTGGTCCAAACTTGGTACATCGTAATATTTATACCCTCAGCCATATGGCTACAGAGGGTATATATCATTTGATACGGCCAAAACGTGCCTAGTCGAAATAACGGTTTTAGACCCTAGGTCTCTTTGGACCAAATCCGTTTCAGAACATTTGGAGTCGATCTAGCGATGTCCGTCCGTCCGTCCGTCTGTCTGTCTGTCTGTCTGTCTGGCTGGCTGGTGCGCACGATAACTCTCCAAGGGAGTATCCGATTTGGTCCAAATTGGCTACAACGTAATATTTTTGTCAAACTTAGATCGAGTTCGGAGATAGGCAATATCGGTCCACTCCTTCTGGTACCTCCCCCACAAAAGGTCAAAATGTTCAAAAAATATATTCTTTGCACAGAAAGAGAAAGGATAATCCAAATTTGCTCCAACTTTGCAAATCCTAATATTTGCATCAGTGCTAGGGCAGGTGTGGAAATGGACAATATCGGTCCACTCCATCAAGTACCTCCCCCACAAATGGTCAAAATTTTGAATAATTACAATTCTCATAAAATGTTATGTAAGTGCCCGACTGTCTTCAAGTTTCACACATCCCAATATTTATATTAACCCAAGGTCTTGTGTTAAGATAAACAATATCGGCCCACTCCTTCTGGTACCTCCACCACAAAAGGTCGAAATTTTCAAAAAAAAAAAAAAAAAAAACAATTTTTTGCACAGAAAGAGAAAGGCTAATCCGAATTTGCTCCGACTTTGCGAATCCTAATATTTGCGTCAGTGCTAGGACAGGTGTGAAAATGGAAATATCGGTCCACTCCATCAAGTACCTCCCCCACAAAATATTGAAATTTTGAGTACCCATGAAGCTCATAAATCGCCAAACTAACATCCGATTCCATTTAGACTTGGCATAACCTTAACACTAGTCAAAATATATTTAGATAATCGAACATAGGCTGAGGGTATATCTCTGGCGGCAATACCGACTGATACTTTTTAACTTGTTTTGTCAAACTTAGATCGAGTTCGGAGATGGGCAATATCGGTCCACTCCTTCTGGTACCTCCCCCACAAAAGTTCGAAATTTTCAAAAAATTTAATTTTTGCACAGAAAGAGAAACGGTAATCCAATTTTGCTCCAACTTATTCGCGTTAGTGCTAGGTCAAGTGTGAAAATGGACAATATCGGTCCACTCCATCAAGTACCTCCCCCACAAATGGTCAAAATTTTGAATAATTACATCTCTTATAAAATGTGATATAAGAGTCCGATTGTCTTTAACTTTCACACATGCCAATAATTATGATAACCCAAGGTCTGATGTTAAGATGGAATATATCGGTTCATTCCTTCTGGTACCTCCCCCACAAATGGTCGAAATTTGAAAAAAATAGATATTTTTTGCACAGAAAGAGAAACGATAATCCGATTTTGCTCAAACTTTGCAAATCTTAATATTTGCGTGAGTACTAGGTCAAATGTGAAAATGGACAAGATCGGTCCACTCCTTCTGGTACCTCCCCCACAAAGGGTCAATATTTTTAATAATTAAAACTCTCATACAATTGATGTAAGAATCCTATTGTCTTCGAATTTTACACAACCCAATATTTAATGTAACCCAAGGTCTGGTGTTAAGATGGAATATATCGGTCCACTCCTTCTGGTACCTCCCACACAGATGATCGAGATTTTCAAAAAATATATATTTTCTGCACAAAAAGAGAATCAATAATCCGATTTTGTTCCAACTTTGCAAATCCTGATATTACGTCAGTTCAAGATCAGGTGCAAAAATGGATAACATCGGTCCACTCCATCAAGTACCTCCCCCACAAAAGGTCGAAATTTTGAATATCCATCAAGCTCTTAAAACACTAAACTAACATCCGATTCCATTCAGAATTAGCACGTCTCAATATTTTTATAAACGCAAGATCTTTTATAAAGATGGTAGAAATCGGACCATTCGTTTTGGTACCTCCTACACAAAGGATGACAGTTTTGAATAATCAAAACGAGGAAAGAATCCGAAATAAACATCCGGTTCTCTTCATATTACACACGTCCCATTATTTCTACTAACTCAAGATCTGGTGTGAAGGTGGGATATATCGGTCCACTCCTTCTTGTACCTCCCCCACAAAGGATTAAAAGTTTGAGTATCCACGAAGCTCATAAAACGCAAAATTAACATCCGATTCTATTCAAATATGGAGCTCCTCAATATTTTCATCAACACAAGATCTGCCAACTTATAATTGTCATAACTTGCGAAACAAGTCGGTGATTCTTAACAACTTGCTATATCTAAATATTTCTCTCAACCAGTATTCTGATATGAATTGTAATTTGTCGGAATTTATGATTTTCGCATAAAATTGGATACGAATGTTCAATTTCGTTCAAATTTTACACATACCAATATATTTTATCTGTATTAGATGAAGTATGAAAATGGAATACTTCGGTCCTCTATATCTGTTACCTGATGCATATTTCCGAAAATGTGCACCTATCTCATATAAAGTACAAAAAGTAGCCGATATAGTCCAAATCTGTCACGTTTATAACTCAAGGCTGGGGGTATACATCTGTCGGCAAAACCGACTGATACTATTTTACTTGTTTTTAAAATCAGATAAATAAAGTTAAAAATGAATGAAATGCCTGTGTTTTCTTTCGAAAACATGATATAAACTATTCAATCTTTCATTTCCATGCTTATAAATAGCTTTAATGCGCACCCAGCCATGTAGAGTTCTTCCAATCATTGATTTTGAAAAAAAAAACAATTGTTTCTATTTTTCAAAAAGCGCTTATCGGGCTGGCTTCTTTGGAAATGAACATAGGGCCAAATTCGAACTAAGTCAACCTAAAACTCCTTTGTTCCTCTACGAAGAAGCCAGCCAAACATGCGCTTTGTGCATTTCCACCTTTAGAAACAAATTGTATTCATCTGGTGGATCTACGTTC